TTATTTGTATAGGAGTAGAGTAGAGAGAGCGAACGTATAGCAATTGAGTAGATAGACAAGAAGAGTGATCAGTGATTGTTACGCTACTTTGTATTTATTCACTTGCTTTATGATTATGTGATCTACTTAATAATGGAATCGCCCATGTTACTCGCTGGCGATCTAGTTTAAACCACATTGTCGACAAAGACACTTACTCTTATACAATATATTCCCCATCCCCTTCCTAAAAATAAGTGATTCCATCAACAAAAACATTGCTTTAGTTTGATGAAGTCGTAAAAAAGGAAACATATCACTGAATATTTTGCACTTTGTCAATAAACATTGAACTTTCAAAATTATAGATTCATTGTAAATCTGTTAACAATCATTTTGTCTATGCATCACTCATGTGTTGATATATGTGCACCATAGAATAGGTGTTTTTAAAATACATGCCTTTGCTAAGTACTAAATTAACATCAAATATATGCCTATGCTATCTACTAAATTAACATCAAATATATGCCTTTGCTAACTAATAAATTAACATAAAATATATGCCTTTGCTAAGTACTAAATTAACATCAAATATATGCCTTTGCTAAGTACTAAATTAACATCAAATATATGCCTTTGCTAAGTACTAAATTAACATAGGAGCAGCTTGCTAGATTTGAAACTATGCCATCAGTCCAGATGTTTATAACTATATGTAATTTTGTTCTGCTTTGAAATCATATACAGGGAGTTCTAAAGAAGGTATACAGTGATGAAAAACAAAGTGTATTGTATTGATTATATGTACATATGAGTAATAAACATAACAAAATGCGCAAATGTTTAAACTATTTACCCTCATCATTTACACCCTCCTCTTTACCTACAAAATGTTTATTATTATTATTTATTATAAAAATAAAAATGATGAAAATAAAAATATAAAAACGATTTTAATGAATTAAATGAATCTTAGAACCACTCTTACAATACTGGTATAAGACATAATGTATACCTACTTTTGAAGCCCCCTGTATGTTAACTCGTGGGCCACCTTACATTTGCAGGATTTATAAACTCATCATTTTCATGATGAAAATTTATCAGTATGACAAACTTGAACTAAATCCTAAAAAATAACCTTTCTTTATTTCTTTATTCTTCCAATTCAAGACATTTAAAAATGTTATCTTTGCAACAAAATTCATTGAATATGGGATTCAATCTAAAAATGTCCAAATCATATTTTCCATAGTTCACATTAATTTTAAAATATTTCAGTGAAAACTATTTTTTGGAAAAATTAACAAATTTCAACTTGCATATGCATCTCTTTAAAATGACATAAATCACAATTTACTGTTAATCCTAATTTTTTTTTTTTTTTCTTTCAATACATTTGTGTATCAAATATAAATGCCAGAATGTTTAAATTGTTTCCTACAATTTTCCCCTGGAATGAGGCATATTTCACATGGCAGTCTTATTATTTTTCAAATAATTTTCTCCATAGCACAATTCTTTTATTTCTTGTTTATGAAACTTATATAAAAATTCCTGGTGGAAGTGCATTTGAACCGACAAGTTTATGTTATAAATTGAAAATTTCCCACCAATATGGCTATTACAGATTACAAGTGTATTTGGTATAAATGACTAACACTTTATTAAATTAAATTTAATATTTATTGCTAAAAACATTTTTGTTTGTATTAAAGGCAATTTCTGGGTGTGACAAAATTTGTTGTTTTATAAGAAATATAGCTGGATGTTATTTTTTCTTTTTGATTTAAATCTTTTATGCTCAGAACTTGAACTTTCTGTCATAGAAATTCATGCTTAATTGATGACTTGGAAGATGAAAAATGTAATCAGAAGTTGGTTGAAGAACACACCAACCAAAATGTAGTGATAAAACAAAATTGAAAATACAAAATAAACATAAAAATGAAAAGTGTATATTTCTTTTTAAAATTGTTATTTAAAGAATTTGGTAAGCCACTTGCTGCTGATTTCATATCCTCACATACGCTCTGAAATCTCTATGGAATCGTCTGTTGAAACTACAAAATGTTTCCTTCAAATCCAATGTATAAATTAGCAATTATATATTGAAAAGTTTGTACAAATCAAATTATACATACCATGCAAAAGTTGAGTTTTATAAATTCCAATACATATGTATAGTTAATTATGATAATATGTAAACAATGTATTATGACTTTTAGAAATAGAAAATCTGTTAAAACAAAATGGAAGATTATCTCATAGAATTTGACAGGTTAAAAATTTACAACTTTGCATGAAAATGATTTGGTGTCTATATTTCAGCTTCTTCTTAAAGTAAATAAAAAACAACCCATGTGACATATTTCTAATCTTTTAAAGGGTAAAATAAATATTCGCCACATGTTTTTATTATTAAACCTTTTCAAATTCTTTTTATTTGTAAATTTTACTAATTTAATAAATAACTGAAATTCAGTTTGTGAAATATTCAACCAAAGTTATTGCTTCTGAGATGGACATCAGTTGGAGTAAAGAAACAAATTAGACAATGGTTTGGAGAAATGACCAAAAACTTATTTTCATTTACAAGATATGAAAATGTCTATGGTAAGTCAGATATAGTGTAGCATTCGAATGTACAAAGTGTGAAATAGGAGTGTGAAAAAGGAGTATCCTGAATCCAGCTGACTGCTTGTTGGCTATTGGTTTGGGCTTGTTGTGTTGATAGTGGAGTCCATTCTTTTCCTGGATTCACAGAAGATCGTTTTCACAGCCTAATGGATGGACATGCTCTTGGGTAGACTATGGTTAACGCATATGTGTGAAGTCTCTCTGCTTTAATTTGTTATCTCTAACTATGTATAAATTGTGTCTTTTTGCAAAACTTTTATATTCTGATATGATTATGTTTGAAAATTTTTATTTATAGATGTTACATTTTGTTCATTTCTCTGGAAATCACAAAATATATTGTGTTTAAATATTGAGTTCAATTGAAAAGGATTAAATTTGGATTCTTTACATAGATGTTCTTTATTTTCATCTAAAAAATTCTTTTGCTTTATGAATGGTTTGGAGAGTATGAGCCCATTTGAAAATGATTAAATCTGGATTCTTTAAATAGATGTTCTTTATTTTCCTCTAAAGAATTCTTCTTTTGCTTTATGAAGGATTTGGAGGGCATCAGTCTGTGATGGAATTCCAAACAAACATTGAGTTATCAATGAGATGTAGTGTGTCTAGGCCACTCACCACATTTATTTAATTTTTGTTTAGGAACCCAAACTGATATAAGAACAAGGAACAAGGCAAAGGTATCAATATATATATATATATATATATATATATATATATATATATATATATATATTGTATTCAACAAAGCATACAATAAAGAATATATACGAAAAAGAAGCATACAATGAGTCAGACGAGAAGTAGTCTCTCTTTGACTATAAAAGTTTATCAATGTTCTCTGAAAAGGAAATGAAAGAGTTATTAGTCTGTTATAAATGTTTTAGACAGTTCTGTCGTGCAAGAGGAAAATTATGTAAGTGTGATAGAATATGTAATTTGAGAGTGAGTAAGAAGATGGGTGCATGTCTTCGACTGACGTGGATTCCAGTAGCAGTCAAAGTCTCAGTGGTATTGGTCCTCTTTTGTTCTGTTTATATAGGTAGTCATCGAATTAGGAATCTGCACAGGAAAAATCATTCTCCACATGCAGAGAATCTGATTGGTTGATACTGACTAATCAGTGCCTGAGTTTTGGGGATACTTCTGGGAGCCAATTCTCCAAAAATTGCACAAAATTTACTATATGAAAATATAGCGATTTTAAAATTTTTGCCTCAGATAGCAGTGTTGCTTTCTGTAATTTGTAAGGGTGTATGTGTGTGTGTGTGTGCAATGATGATGATCGATATAATATTATATAAACCAAAGGGAGGTAAGCAAGTTAATTAAGTTAACCTTTTCCAGAATGCATTTATTTTTAAACTCTATGTTTTAAGCTAACTCAAATTTAAATTCAATTTCTAAACTATCCAAACAAGTTAACTCTTCTATATTTTATATATTCTTGTAGGATTATGTCCGTGCATTCTTAATCATGGATATTTTGTTTCAGTCATTTCTATAGAAACTGATTGTAATAAAATTATTGATTAATGCAAAAGAAAAATTGAAAATTTATTGAAAAATGCAAAAGATACAGTTGTGTCTTGGATGATTGCATACCAGACAATTGCATCCCTAGACAAATGTGTCCCTAGATAATTGCATACCTCTGATAGTTTTTTGAAGTTACCATTTTTTTTTGTTAAGGAGTTAATATAAAATTTGAACACCAATATCTTTAATTACTCTACACAAGCAGAAAGGTAGTTACCATAAATAAAAAGAAGAGAGAAAAATTTCATTTTTAATGCAAGAGAAAATTAAGCTAGCAGTTTCAGTTCACTCCAGCAGTGCGTACCACAAACATCTAATAGATACTGGATTTTATAGATTATACTTTTATTTGGCATCCATGGCTAACTTCTATGGCTAAAATTAAACACTGGTGAAAAAATATTTGTGGACAAGGAAAATTATAGCTACCACTATCATAAGAAAAATGCCAATGAAACAAAAACATACTAACGATGTGTATTACAATCTTGCAACACTGTTAATCTGTCATTGCATTTTAAACAAAAATAAACTTTTAATTTTTTTTTATTTTATTCCTTTTTTAAAAATTTATGATTACAACCTATGCTTTTTTAAATTTATGGTAATTGCCTCTAAAAGCTTAAAAAAAAATCAGGGGTACACAATTGTCCAGGGATGCATTTGTCTAGGGACACCAATATCCAAGGATGCAATTGTCTGGTACGCAATTGTCCAGGACACAAATGTCCAGTACGCAACTATCCTAGAGCCTTTTTCTTTTTTCATTAGAAAAATTCCTGAGTAAAACACTTTGAAGTAAGTAGTAAATGAACAATATGACTTTCTTTTTGCAGTCCATCACTCGACCAGCTGCCTCCAGTCAGTCCAAACAGACTGCTCACCATGGAGTCAAAGCACAAGTAAGTCACATTTTATTTAACAAATTACTCTCATCTTTCACAGCATCAGTTACTAGTGGTTGTCTTTGATGAAATGCCAATAACTGATTCAGTCTCCTTTTTTAGTGAATTTTTCAATCTCAAGAAGAAAAAAAAGGAATTCAAGATGAGGTAAATCCTAAAATAATCAGCATAGAAAGATGAATCAGAAAATTGAGTTCAAAAGTTGATTTTGGGTTCCTTCCTGATATTGTGTCTGCCATCTTCCTTCTTGCTGATATTATATCATCATAATCCTGGATGGTTAATTGTTCGATATATATATATATATATATTATAATAAAAAGAAAGAACAGTAAGATATATAATCCAGTATTCTTATTGATATTTTTATTTTTACAAAACAGTGTTCAATGTAAATTTACAGAGTATAAATATTATAAATTAACTGATTTAAAATTTAACCATATCTTAAATCAGTTAATTTATAATATATATATATATATATATATATATATATATATACTTCCTGGTGTTATCGGACTGGAGGGGTCAATCCCAGCGTGCGGCACCTTTGGAAAGTGCCTGAAATTGAGTAGACAGAAGCCTTGGGAATGAAATTGAGTAGACGAAACCTTTGGGAACCATCAATAGCTGTGGATAAGGGCTTGAGTGTGCTGGCTTTTTTCAAATTGTTGATGAAGCTAGATAACACGCTCTTTCCCAGAAACTGTAACTAAGGTCTGCTCAGCATAGTTGCAGTATAAACCATACGTAGGCTCTGTGGGTGTTGAATAAACACAAATGTGCCTGAGTGAGAGTCTGCAATAGGGATTGGCTAGCCACCCTAGTAGACAGGTATCCTCGAATACAAGTGGCCAGCTATATATATATAGTCATCCACACACAGACTGTTTCACTGTATCACAGCTCATCTATGTGGATAGACATACAATTGCTTCAAGCTGGGATCAAAACCCTACAGATTTGACATAAGTTGGCGTCACTCACCCTTAGGCTATCAACAGCTGATAAATTCCACAAGAGGAGGTATATATATATATATATATATATATAGTGACTAATGGTCAGGAAAAATTAGAAGTCAGGGAAGTTCCTGGAAATTTTTAAAAGTTAGTGAATTTTTTTGTTATTGAGGACCCTGTTCTTTTTATGTGACATTACCTGTGTGTCTGTCTTAATATGCCTGTTTGTTCTATATCGGTGTCTTCTATTCAGACTGTCAAATTTTGACGAGGATTGAAAGCTATTGTCAGTTCCCAGAAAGTAGACATAAAATAATGTGAATAAAGGCAAAATGGAAAACTTATCTTAGCCAATACATTTCATCCTCTGAAGGACTTTATCATTTGCCTTGATAAAGCTCTTCAGAGGATGAAACATGTTGGCTAAGATAAGTTTTGCTTTTTTCTTTATTCATATTGTCCTTTTACAGATATTTCCTTTACATAAAATAATGTCCTCCAAGTTAATGGATCTCAACAAATATTATGAGGATTTGAGGTCGTAAAAAAAAGTCAGAGAATTTTGTTTGCCTAAATCACTGGTGACTATGTATAAAATGTGTGTATAACACAACTCAAAGACACCTATTAAAAGTGACTAGAATTTACTGTATTTTAGACAAGTTTTGCCAAAAAAGGTAAATAATTGGAGTAGCAACATTCAACAAATCAATAAATGTCCAAAGAACTTATCTCATTCACCAACTTCAGAGTTTCCTGCAACACAGCTCATCAGGGTCAGATGGGCCAAGAAATCTATTGAATTATATATTTATTTCATATTTATACTCTATAAAACAAACACTAATCATAGACTTCAAATAATGATTGCAGACTTAATAATTGTACATTGTTGAATTAGTTTGTAAATAAGCACGGGCTCAAAGGTGGCTATTTTGTGTGTGTGTGTGTGTGTGTGTGTGTGTGTGTGTGTGTGTGTGTGTGTGTGTGTGTGTGTGTGTGTTGTTCTCTATTTGCAACAATGAACTTCTGATTACTTGAACTATAATTTCAGTTCACTATATGTCACTCACAAACAACTTGTATTGATCTTTCACTTCTGTTCATTTTAATTTTGTCTTCTTTAAGAACAAGACTTTCTTTGAGCATGAAAGCAAAACTTATTGTTTATAGTATGATTCAAAACACTCAAGGCTCATCCACTACTCATCTGTACTCTTCCATTTAAAAACTTGATACTCACTCAATAAAATAAGAAATGTCAGGAGATGACATCAAAGTAATAGTGAGAGTATACAACACATTTGTATTCTCTTAAATATTTTGCCTTTTAATTTTTTTTCATTCTAATTTTTAAGATCTAAATTCTCTTTCTGTTTCCATTACTATTGCAGTGACATTGATCCTCTCTGAGTGTCCCATACTTCTGGTCTTGTGTTTTACTAAGCTAACTTTAGACAATTTGAGTTAGATTTTACTCACAAGCAGGTTTGATTGCTGTGATATGATTATACATTTTTTTAGGTTTTCTTTTTTTTGTTGTGGAAACAATGACTGTCATGGTATGATATTCAATAATGGAATTGAATTAATGAAAAGAAAAATTAATTTTTCGAAATTTAGTTATTGAAAGAACTTTTTTAAATTCTTTACAAAATTGTTTACAGAAGAATTTTTTTTAACAAAAAATTACCTCCCTTGGATTTTTATGATAATAGTTTGACAAAAATAAATTATTCATTTTTTTTAAAATTATAAATACTAATTTACAAAAAAAAGAGAGAGAGAGTCGTGAAGCTGGTTAATTGTAGAAAATTGTATTAAAAAAAAAGACTGGGAAGAATATTGTAAGAAATAGATGACAGTAAACAAAACTAAAGTCAGTTGGGGAAGATTTTTCCTAAGCAAAGTAGATGTGTTTTACTGTAACTTTATGTGTTTTTTGTTTCTTTGGAAAATTGGAGAAAAAAAGCAGAAATTATTATTTACAATGTAAAAAGAGAAAAAAAAATAAAGAAAGAATATCTCCATTTTTATCATATGGGAAGTTTCTCTTAGTTAACAAAGTTTCTAGTTCCTTTTGAATTAAATTGATTTGTTTTATATTATTTCTAGGAGACCAATTAAAATCGAATATACAAAATTATATAGATACATAAAATACCAGACTAATTGTGCTTTATTTCAAAAGAAAAAAATAACATTTTGACCACAACCAACTGTGGTACTATTTTTGTCAGGGAATTTTGGAGAGAGATGTTTTCTTGCCAGAAACCTCTCCTAGAACAAAAATCAACAACTTCCCCCTCATAATCTTACTTATTATAAAACACAGATTGTGTGTGTGTGTGTGTGTCTGTACGTTTATATATTGGATCGGATTTCCTATATTTTTCAACCGATTTCAACAAAACTTCAAAGGACTGCATAAAATTACCTTGCGGTGGTTCTGACAGCGCCAAAAATTGGAAAAAAACAATTTGAAAACATGATAAAACGCAATTCTGTCGCCAGAATGAAAGGGGGACAACTCATATCGAGTTATACTTATAAAACCCAGGTTGTTTGTGTGTGCGTGTGTTCATTTATATATGGGATCGGATTTCCTACATTTTTCAACCGATTTCAACAAAACTTCACTTTTTTTGGCAGATAGTGTTTCTTATTGTCTTGCACACTTTTTTCTTTATTTTTACAAAAAAATTTTTACGTTAAAAAAAAAAAAAAAAAAACTAATTAAGATATGCATGTCCGTCAACCTTAAACAATAATCTTTGTCAATTTTATTTTTCAGTCTTTATGATGGTCGATACTTGATCTATCTCTTACTGTTACATCTCCGGGCAATGCCGGGCTCTACTGCTAGTAATGAATAAAATTGCTTTTTTTATTATTTCAAATATACTTTAATAGCATTCAAAATTTCTGGGGAACCATTGTCAATTACTATTCATTTTTGTATTTCTTTTGTCTGATTTTTCTTGCTTTTTATTATTATTCTACCAGATCATACTTTTAAAATCACTAAGTAAACAGCAAGAATTTAAAATAACAAATAAACATTCAGTAAGATTTAAATTTGTGCTTCTTATTCTTGGGAACCTACTTTTCCATGGCAACACCTTACAAATTAGGCTACAAAGGCTAATCAATAGGCATCATTCAAATTTATATATATATATATCTATATCCTTCACTTCTGTGAATGCCATTTCCTGTCATCATGTATGCGCTTACATTTTACACTTGTAGAATAAGTTGAATTTCTTAGATGAAACATTGTCAGTTAAGATTTTTTTTATGAGTAATTCTTTCATCTTCATTTCTGTTACTTTTTATTGCAATTTCCAAAATAAAACTTCTCTCTATGAATCAGCTGAAAGATCTCTTCTTGCCTCTCATCAATATGGCTGATGCTAACCTCCATGAGAGTGGTGTGTTGCAACTTACATTTTCAATTGACATGAAGTGGAAAGAGTATATTGAATCCATTGCTAGTTCTGTTGCTATGAAAATTGGTTCCCTATGTCGTGCTATGCAATTTCCCTCTCCTGAATTTATCTCATATATTTATAAGTCTACCATTTGCCCATACATTGAATATTGCTGTCTGGTGTTCCTGCCATATATTTAGAGATTCTTGATAAAATCCAAAGAAGAATCAGCAATATCATTGGTCCTGACCTGGCATCTTGGCTTCAGCCACTTTCCCATTGTTGTAATGTAGCTTCCCTGTGCTTTTCCTAGATATATTTTCATAGTAATTGTTCAGATGCTACATAGACTTTATGAATTTAAGCACAGTACTAGATTGGCAGCAAGGTCTTATCAATTCACAGTTGAATTGGTGACATGTAACTGTAAGTTCTATGTTAACAGTTTCTTCTGTTGCACTTCTCACTTGTGGAACTCCCTTCCAGCTTCTTACTTCCCAGGCAACTTTGATCTTCAAAGATTTAAATACAATGTCAACTGTTATTTACTCGCTTTTTGATTTTTTTTTTTTTTTTACTGTGGTGTTCACCCTTTACAAGGCCCTGGGGCCACTCAAGGTAGAGGTTACAAAGTATGAAGTACAGCTTATGCAGATATGTGCAGAAGATAATGGTTAACCCTAGATTTGAACATGTTAAGAGTGTAGTGAACATGGAAGCAGCCTCTTAGGTGTCAGTTCCACAAGGCAGTAGTTCCTTGGAAGTAGCTATTAAGAGTGAAACTTACATCTCACCAGGGGAATATGAAGGAAATGTGGGTAGTTTGCTACAATGGGCATGGCATGTCAGGTCTTAGCTGTGAAGGTTAGGACAGGTGGAACTAAGAAGTGTAGTTCATCTGAACACTCATCATGGAAATAGCGATAGAACAGCAGTGAGAGGCTTAAGACATCCCATCTGTGAGAAAGAGTTTGCAGAGTAGAAAATAATAATTTGTCACCTACAAAGATGCAGAGAGACTTTTGAACTATCAAGAGTAAAAAAAAAAAAAAATCGATGACTGAGCAACTCCTGCCCATATATGGCAGCAGTACTCAATTTTAGGTCTGATCTGGCTCTTGTAACAATAGAGAATAGCAGGAGGAATCAGGTACTTACCCGAGTGATACAATGAACTAAACATTATTCCAGCATCTTTAGCAATGGATTAAATGTAGGTGTTTCACTTGAGGTTGGGGTGGGGAGAGTTTAAGTCCCAATAGGTGCTCAAGGTAAGGGGGGCCTCCCTGAAGGAACATCCATTCATCATGATTGGTAAAAGTTCTGTGTCCAATCAGCAATGGTAGAAGGTTAATAGTTTGGTTTTTGAGGCACTGAATGTAACCAACCAGACATCCGAGCTGTTAGGCCAGAGGAGAGGTCAGCTGCGCGATCTCTGGTCATCAAGTGTTTTGGAGGTGCATCAATAGAGGATAGCAGGATGAGTCAGGTACTTGCTGGAGTAATACAGAGGACCAAAGTTTGGTCTTCGAGGCAATGAATGTGACCAGCCAGTTTTTCCCCCCACTGAGCTGTTAGAGCCTGACCAGAGGAAAGATCAGCTGCCAAGCTATGGTCATCTAGGATTTGCAGGTGCACTCATATACAGTTCTATCATCAGCATAAATATTCACAAATGATCAATGTATTCTCTTAGGCAGATCATTTATGTAGAGGAGGAAGAGGGTTGTACCAAGAAACCAACTTTGGGGAATGAGTCTGATCACCTGGGACTCAGAGGACCAGCCATTAACAACTACCTTCAGTTTTCTCTGTATCAGAAAGGACTTTATAAGAGAAGACTCTTCCAGTGATTCCATAGCTAGAGAGCTTAACCTCTTATGCCACACCTTGTCAAAGACCTTTGAAATATCTAATATGACTGTTCTTGAGATGTATTTGTTGTCAGGTGCCTCACTAATTCTGTGAGTAATTGCTTTACTGCCTTGTATGGCGTGATATGATTAAAAAAAATATTGCCATTCTATGATTACTAAATAAACAATAAGAAATAAAGAGTAATCTCTTTAAATGTGTAGAATACAAAATGTTCTATATTGTGGTTATGAAAACATTAAATAAATTCCATGGTTTTCCAGAATGTCATAGTTCTATTATTAATTAGAAAGTTCAATTTCCTTCTGTCAATTGGAGGCCAAGAATATTCTGACTGCATCCACATGCAGAAAGTTAAAATTCCCCTAAAAGGGGCAGCTAGTTTACTTTAATGAAGTCTATCTTTTTGACCCTCATGCAAAAACCAAACCCATGTCGAACTTTTTTAATTCCCATGTAAACCAAACCTGCTCACCATTTTCTGAATGTCATACAAAAAAAGCTATGTTTACCTATCTATTGTATGATAGAATTTGTCATTATGTAACCTGAAAGAAGGTTGATATGCTATAAAATAATGTACACCAAACCATAATTAATATTCTTGTATGATTTCAAAAGGGCCATCATTTTTATCGCAAGTTTTTTTTTCTGTTTTAAAGCCAAATTAAACATTTACATCTCGATTTCAAATTCTTGTATCTTTTTCCTCCCTTTGCACAGAGACCACGAGAGATGTCTTGATGAACAGGAACCAACAGAAACCACTCGGCTAAAAAGCTCAATTCAACAAATAAATGAAAGTAAGTCACTTTGCCTCTTTTTTGTTATCTCACAATTTTCAACCACCAAAAATTATCATAACTTCAGATAGAAAAGATCTATCCTACTGTAACATTTGCATAGATCAGGAAATAAAGCATGAGGACAAAAGTCATGAGTTATTTCCCCTTAGATATGTAGTCATGTGGCATATTAGTATAAAAGCAGCACCAAATTCAAAATCTCTCTCTTCTTCCTAGAACTCCACATGGCAAATATAATATGACCAGAATTAAGGTAGGAACTAATTTTAGTGACTTGCTTATCTCCCTGATTTGATAATGCACACACACATAACCACATGCACTACACCCTTTGAAACATTTTGATGTCAGTGAGGCTAAAACATGGTCATAATAAGTAATAAAAATGTTGGATTAAAAACAAATTGATTAATTCTTTAGATATTGCTTTGTTTATGTTTTGTATATGAAAACTTCCAAGAAAAATAACCTGGGTGGAGAGTATGAGCTTCATTTAAAAAGGGAAAATAGAACTTTGCTTGCTGCAATATTCTTTGTGGTTGAACAGTAAAGCGAACTGGATCAAAGGGTTGTGTCCGTTATAGAGGAGCACGCAGGTTTGATCCCTACCTAGGAATACATTTTCCTTTACTAAGATTTCTCAGTTGAGCAAACCTACAGATGTAATACACATTGTTTTATAAATACAAATGGGGCATCTATTTTAAATATGGAGCATTCACTATAGTAACATTTGAAGTAATAAAAATATTTATATAAATTGTGCACAGTGAATACTGGTAGTAATAAAAGAGTGCTCAATGTAAAATAATAGAGCTTACATTTATACTAACAATAAATATATATTCCTCACCATTTAGTACAACTCTGAGGTTCATGCATATGGCAAGCTTCAGGCAAAAATTGAGGATTTATCAAAAATACTTTTACAAATTTTTGAGGCAGATTCCTCACACCAAAACAAGGAGAAAAGTCCATATAAAAATATGTCTGCAAATCCTTTGTTTTTGAGTTATTAAGCTTAAAGTTTATGGTAGATGTTGTTAAATGTACAATCTAAGATACAATCCAAAAATACTTTTACAAACTTTGGGGGCAGATTCCTCACACCAAACAAGGACAAAAATTCATATAAACATGTCTGCAAATCCTTTGTTTTTGAGTTATTAAGTTTAAAGAAAGTTTATGGTAGATGGTGCTCTGTTGCCATGTAGACTAGGTTGCATTTGTCATTTGTGTAAAATTGTGGCTAGTCTGTCTTCAACGTTTAACATGTGTAGTAGCGAGTTAACTGAGAAGTGTTCTGTTTAACAATGGCGAGGTATTTAGTATCATGAGCAGGCATATCCAATTTTTATATACAGCTGTGCGAATGGTAATGGATGTGAGGCTGCATAGCTGTATCAGATTGCATTTTCAGACTGAAGGCAGTTGAGTCAACCAAAATTTGCTGCTGTCTATCATCACATTGCCAAAACAGGATCCATGACACCACAACCTATGGATCGAGGAAGACCAAGATCTGCTCGTACACCTGATCACAAGAACATATTCTACAGGCTGATAGGTTGGAGACAATCCAGGTATCAGCACATGTCAAGTGATCCTAGCATGTCGTATATCTCATAGTACAGCATGAAGGACACTTCAAGAGCAGCTCCTATATCTGTGTTATTTGCAATGTGTGCAGTGTCTTTCCCCGTCTGATCACTCACCATGGGAAAACTTTTGCTGATGGTTTATTGCACAAACTGCTGATCTGTTGTTTGTCTCATCAGTATTGTTTATATTTTAACTTATTTTGGTGTCAAAAACCCGCCCCCAAAGTTTGTAAAAGTAGTTTAGAATTGTATCTTAGATTGTACATTTAACAACATCTAACATAAACTTTAAACTTAATAACTCAAAAACAAAGGATTTGCTGACATATTTTTATATGGACTTTTGTCCTTGTATGGTGTGAGGAATCTGCCCCCAAAGTTTGTAAAAGTATTTCTTATACACCCTGTATAAATTCAGTGTCCATATAGTCATCATGTAGTACTAAGTTCTGTCACCATACAATATTGATTCCTGTGTCTACACCATTTATATCTACAGACTCTCTATCTCAAAATTTGAGTGCTCTTTGCCCATAAATATGCTAAATTTTAAACATATATAGACTCAAATTGTACTTTATTGAATTAAGCAAACAGGGTCTAATTTTTTTATTACATTTGTTAACTATTCCCCCAAGGATTGAACCCTTCATCCTTGGCTAACAAATATTGTTGAATCACCCTGTCCCACCTGCTAATTAAAAATGAGCCCAACTTTGTTCTATAAAAACTTCTAACAATTTGTCCAAAGAAAAGAAGATACATTTGCCAGAGTTAGCATTACGTCTTAGCCATGTGCTAAGCTCTTAGTACCTGCAGAACTCTCTGCCTTCGAGCAGAGAGGAACCCAGATGAGGGTATGTCGAAGAGTCTCATCTGGGAAGGTAGACAAATCCAACACCCATTTATATGGGGTCTATAGGGAAATTTTACCCAAGCCTATGGGCTCGGAAAACGCACATGCCACATCCCACTCTGTTGTATAAATACCAAGAAGATTCATTTGCTTTTGGAATCGATGCTGGATAATTTCTCAGGTTAAACAACATTTTTTCCAGTTTGCATATAAGTTGGCACATATCCAGATCAATTTTATTTGAAACAGAAAAATTTAATAAAACTTAAACAAATCCCCACTATAAAATGTTTGAATTAATTCTTACTGTCTAAACATATATATATATATATATACATATATATATATATATATATATATGTATATATATATATATATATATATATATATATATATATATATATATATATGTGTGTGTGTGTGTGTGTGTGTGTAAACCTATAGGACAATTTATAAACATTTTGCTATGACATGTTTCACAAGTTAAGGTAAAACTTTTTACAAATCGTCTTATATATTATCTATTCTGTTGGATTTTCATACAACTTTACTCTCACACACAAATGTACATATGTACATCTGTGTGTATTTACATTTAAATATTATATATTTAAATTTTGCACATGAATATTGTTTGTTTTTGATTTTGTTGACTGCACAGTATAGTAGGATCAGTCGGGCACTGTCTGTGAGAAAAAGAGCGCCATGATGCAATCCACTCCACCAGAACTTTGGAAACAGCATGTTGTACTGCTTGGCATTCACATTGGAAATTCCAATACGAACATTTCAAAGCGTTTGGGTATCAATCTGAGGACAGTACAGAGAATTCAGAAAGAGTTGGATGAGTCTAATGGTGATTACAAAGGTACAGCAGCTCAGAAAACTCAAGCTGATCATTTTGATAAGATAAGAACTCCTGAATTTGTTGGTGAGAGCCTTAGATTCAACACAGAAGCCTACATCAAGTGTCTTTAGGAGGTAGTGCTGCCCTGGGTCAAGAGGGTGGCTGCTGAAAGACCCTATATCTGGTAACAGGACTCTGCACCATGCCACACAAGCTGGAGAAGCTAGTCATGGCTGTCAGTACATATGGCCACCTAACTCCCCAGAGTTGAACCCCCTTGATTATGCGTGGAGCACAGTTGAAAGAGAGACCAAGAAAACTCCTTGTTACACCAAAGATGAACTGAAGGCAAGGATTATGGCAGTAATCACCAACTTAAACTAGAAAACCATTCAGAAGAGTTACAGGAGTCTGGAGGCTGTGGTTGAAGCGAATGGTGATTTTATTGAATAAATTTACTTTTTAGTATTTTAGATATTTTTTGTGTGCTTTTGGTAAATATATCTGTTATAATGAGACATCAGTGTTATTTTCATTTTTGCATAAGTTAGATGATAATTTATTCATCGCACCCTGTATGTTGAAGTCAGAGAAGCAGAAAATATTTCTTCACTCAAAGGATCTTTATCCTCAGATGTTCGCTCTGTTCAGCTCATTTGACTAACTTCCATTAGTTTACTATCTGTGATTGATAGCTAAGAGTCATGATCTGGGCACACCTTTTCATTTCTTGTGCCAGATTGGAAGTTGCCATGTTAATTAAATACTTTTAATATGTCTAAACAAGAAATGTAAATATTAAATTGTGGGGCATGCCAGGTGATATGGTAAATCATCTTTAATTTACGAACAGATTTGTGTTTGTGTGTGTGTGTGTGTGTATATATATATATATATATATATAGATAGATAGATAGATAGATAGATATGTAAAATGACAATGAATAGAGTCCGATTCCGATGTTTGTAACATTCAATTTAAAAGACGGCTCAATACAAAAGTAGACCAATATTCTTTATTTTTAGGACATTACCATTAAAAACGTGTGTGTGTATATATATATATATATATATATATATATATATATATAAAAGGTGCAGGGTGACACAAGGAATCATGAATTTCTTCTAATTTGTTCAGATTAGTGGCTGAGCACTGTGATCTAGTTAATGTATCAACAGCATAGGTTTGCTTCCCCGAACAATAAATGATATAAGAATAGCAAGAAAGTTTCAGTTGCCATCTTACAATCTTTTCATTTTTCATTTTACCTGCTCTTCTTCCATTGAATATAAATGATACAGATTTTTGATCTGTTATCAGTTGAAAATGCTTTCCCAGCAAATAATGTTGCCACTTATGCAAAGACCCTTCAATCGGCTATGTCACTTTTTTGATAAATAAATGTCTACATTCAATGACTTTTAATGTCCTAGAAAAAATGGCTACAGGTCTGCCATTTTGGATGAATGTTGCAATGATGGCTTTTTCTGAGGCATCAGTTTCAACAACAAAAGTATATTATTTTCAATGGTAAAGACCACAGAATTTACAATAATATTTTGTCTGAGCACAACACAAATTTATGTAAATTGATGGAAGTTGCCAAACACCTTAATTTAACTTTCAATCAGGATAAAAGTATATTCTGTCAAAATTCTATTAACTTTCTGGGTTACACCATTTCAGGTGTTATGATAAAACCTGATACAGAATGTTTGTAACCCCTCCTAAACTTACCTGTTTCAACTAACAAAGCTTCCTAACACCAAGCAAGCTGATTGTTTTCCCATTACTCTAAGTAGGTATACCAATTTTCCCAGAAAATACATCCACTAATAACAATTCAAAAATTTCCACTAGAACAATTTGCTGTTAACAAAGACAGTGCTTCAACTAAACAAAATCCAATATTACTATTACAACTAGTATAAATAAAGTGATAGAAATTAATATGAAATAAATACTAGTAAAAAATTAATTATGATTGACAATGCTTTATCTAATAAAAATTCAATATTACTACTACTAATACCACTAATATTAATGAAACAATAGAAATTAAGATGAAAGAAATACTAATCAAAATTAATTGATTGAAAAGGTTTCTTGTAATAAAATATCAAAATAATATTACACATAAATTTTTTCCTGTTCCATTTTCACATAAATTTTACTCTGAGCAAGAATCACAGCCTAAAAGTCTTCCACTGAAATATCAAAGTGTTATGATTAAATAAAATTGTTTTGTGTTCAAAGATAACATTCATATTTTTCCTTTTTATTAAGACATTTGTGAACAATGATGTTTGTGTGTTTTTTGTTTATTAAGGCGCTTCCCCTGAAGAATGCTATGAAACCGAAGAGCAAGACGATGATGATGATGATGAAGAAGATGAAGAAGCTGAACAAAAAGAAGGTCGGAGAGTATCATTCCAATTAGATAATCTCCCACCATCCGCAGCAAAATATTTGAAAAAAGGAAGACGGTAAAAAAAAAAAAAATTGAAATTAATTAAAACTCTTAATCCTGTAGAAATTCAAAATCTTGCCTATTACAGCTTAAACTCTGAAGATATCTGTAATGGTGATGAGAATTTGATTAAAAAAACAACAAATATGGTTGTCATTATTATAGGATATTTTTTCAGACAATATTCTTAATTCTTTGTTATTCCTAATTACATTTTAGTCAATGTATTTGCTAGCTTTTTTGAGAATCTTTTGCATTTGGTAAGCTTCTAAGAATTAGGCATGGAAACCATTCTTTGATCCACAGAAAACATTACTTTTATTCTTTTCCCTATCAGCTCTGAATTGTTAAGAATTTCAAAATTCATAAGCAGATGTGAACAACATATTCTGTTGAATTTAATAAAGTGTTCTATTCAGTATTGCCAGGCAAGGACACTGGATACAACAGATAGTGAAGGAAGACTGGAAAGCGTGACACTCAAGTAATTGGGATAAACACAACAAAGACAACAAAACTAATTGGAAAAATCAATTTACATCTCAGAAATCCAAACAAAACTTGTAATATTTGGATTTTCTTCACCAACATCCCTTTTCAAAACTATAGACTGCTAATGGCAACTTTTAAGCTGTGTTAACACACTTCCTATTTATAGAATTTATATTATAATTACATGCAACTAAATAAAGAAAGACTACTCTGTAAGTAGCTAAACTGCATCTATATTTGAAATTTTAGGTTAGCTTTACTTGTACTTTTACTAAACCTTAATCAGCAGGAGTTGAGTGTTAAATGATTTTTAAATATACACATTTAGAATTTAGAAAAATTATTTTTTGTAATAAAGTATTGAAATGGTCATAATGAAAGGAGAAAAATGAAAAGCTGAATAATTTTGCATAAATTAATGATACTTTCATGAAATAATGCTTAACTTAAAAAAAATATTTCTATATAAAAATGTATTTCTTGCAGCTTCAATTTTTCTCATTCACAATGTTAATATGTTTTTTGTTTTGTTTTTTAAAGAAATATAAATATCAGATTGGAATGAATGTGAATGCTAACCTAACATGACTGCAGATTTAACTGAAATTTCATTTGAATAGTATTGCCCTAACAACACTCACTATGATGTGCTGTTTTTACTGTGTTACAGTAATAAATACATCCACAAACAAGACTCAGATCATAGATGGTTATTTAAAAAATATAAAACAGGTGTAAATGCTTTGACATGCTGGAGTGATTCACATACTCCTATGACTTAGAGAACTATGATAGCAGGAGTTTATCTCTTGCCAGCACAGCCAAATAGGTCAATGGGTAGGAGCCAAACAAAACCTTAGTCACCCAGAAGATCAGACCTCACTAACAAAAAATCTTGTAGAGGGTAGCAGCTTTTGAAAGGGTCAGTGTTTGTGTATATTTTAAGTATAGTGTGCGTTCATGTATAAACAAAGAAGATAGAAAATACTTGTGTTTCTACTACTGACTGTTTATTCTTTTTTATGGTAACTGTAGTGAAACAAAGTTCTTGATGTCTTTTGGGTATGTCTGTTTTCTTTTTGGTCCAGGAGTTAGGGTAAGTAAGTATAAATAAGCATTGTATTAATGGTCAACCACAAGTCAGCTTTATGCAGAGTTGGAACAACCAAAGAAAAGTTTGTACTTACTATATTGTTGGAAATTTAAACAGGGTTATAGGATGTCCATTTTCTTTTACTTGATCAAGAAGTTATGGTAAGTAAGTATAAACATCATTATAATGGCCACACTCAGGTCAGCTGTGAACTGACTTTAGAACAACCAAAAAGAACGCTTGACTTACTTCATAGGTGGAGGTTTTGGAAGACACAGAAACATAATTAACATAATTAACATAATTTACATAATTAACATGTGGTACTACATCTTGGAGAAAAATAGAGAGGGAGGAAATGTTTGTATAGACTTCAACAACACAGGGCTAACATGTTTCACAAACCAAGTGGGGGTAATCATATTTGTGGTTCCTTTACTCTTAACATCATGGGAAAATGCATTCCTTTTCTTTTTTTTTATTATTATTTTATTTATTGGTTTTATTACATTTTATCCCAAAATCTTTGGTTTCAAAACATGTTTACTTCATTTGCAATTTCCTTCAATTTCTCTTCAACTCATATTTAAAACTTCTTTGACACCTTTCAGAATTCAAATTTTATGAATTTTCTTCTTGCTTAAATATTTAAAATCTTACTTTATTCATTACTGCTGTTTCTTTACACACCTTTCAGGTCCTTCTTGTTTCAGAATCCCTTCCTCTTATTATTTTGGTATCATCAAAGTCCTTCTCTTCTTCATTCCTCCTTCTTTGGATTATTTAAAAGTTCCTTCTTATTCATTCCTCTGTTACCCCAAATATCATCTTACTGACTATCTTAAAAGTCTTCTTATTCATTACTGCTGTTTCTTCTTTTATACATCATTCAAATATCCCATCTTACTGTCCTTCTTGCTTATTTTCACCTTGCTCCCCTTCCTCGTTACCCAAATATCATCTTACTGACTACTTAAAATTCATTACTGCTGTTTCTTCATTTCAAAGTCCTTCTTGTTATTCTTGACCTTCTCGTTACCCAAATATCATCTTACTGACTCCTTAAAACTCTTCTTATTTCATTACTGCTGTTTCTTCTTCATCATTCAAAAGGTCCTTCTTACTTGAGATCCCCTTCCTCGTTACCCAAATATCATCTTACTTGACTACTTAAAATATCGTCTTACGGTCTTCTTATTCATTACTGCTGTTTCTTCTTACACATTCATTCAAGGTCCTTCTTTGCAAATATCATCTTGCTGATTTAAAACTCTTCTTATTCATTGCTGCTGTTTTCTTCTTTACTCGTTACCTTCTTGCTTAAATATCCTCTTTACTGACTACTCTTCTTATTCATTACTGTATTTCTTTTTACATCATTCATCCTCATTACTTGCTGTTTCCTCGTTACCCAAATATCATCTTTCTTAAAACCCTTCCTTCTGCTGTTTTCTTTTATCATTCACCTTCTTGACCTCCCCTTCCTCGTTACCCAAATATCATCTTACTGACTCCTAAACTCTTCTTATTCATTACTGCTGTTATTCATTACTGCTGTTTCTTTTTACACACCCAAATCATTCAGGTCCTTCTTGCTTATTACTTGAGCTCCCTTCCTCGTTACCCAAATATCATCTTACTGACTACTTAAAACTCTTCTTATTCATTACTGCTGTTTCTTCTTACATCATTCAAGGTCCTTCTTGCTTATTACTTGAGCTCCCTTCCTCGTTACCCAAATATCATCTTACTGACTACAAAACTCTTCTTATTCATTACTGCTGTTTCTTTTACACATCATTCAAGGTCCTTCTTGCTTTCTTCTTATTCATTACTGCTCCCTTCCTCGTTACCCAAATATCATCTTACTGATCTGCACTCTAAACTCTTCTTATTCATTACTGCTGTTTCTTCTTTACACATCATTCAAAGTCCTTCTTGCTTATTACTTGACTCCCTTCCTCGTTAATAAATATCATCTTACTGACTACTTAAAACTCTTCTTATTCATTACTGCTGTTTCTTCTTACACATCATTCAAGGTCCTTCTTGCTTATTACTTGAGCTCCCTTCTCGTTACCCAAATATCATCTTACTGACTACTTAAAACTCTTCTTATTCATTACTGCT